AGCTATTAAAGCCAAAAATATCTAGGATAAATGTGTTAGGTGTTGATTATCCATTTTACTGATATCTGCTTTTAAGCTCTCTGTGATCCGTTCACCTTATAAAAGAGAGGACTACAATATTTTAAAATTTGAAAACAATACAAAAGATGTATTTTGCTATCTTTTGGATTTTTGAAGAAAGCATTGCATTGGAACTGAATTATTGTTTATTATTGTTACTGTTAACTGCTGGGTGTCGCATGCTAAAACCCTTAAGAAACAGTTGATCTGTTTGTGTTCTTAGCTGGCATGCTATCATCGTTGATGGACACAGCGTAGAGGAACTCTGCAAAGCCTTTGGCCAGGCCAAACATCAGCCAACTGCTATCATTGCAAAGACTTTTAAAGGAAGAGGCATATCAGGTAATTAAAAATAATTCATTACTTGGCAGACAACATGTATATGCAGATTGTTGCAGTCAAGGTGCAGTCATTAGAAGATTTATCACGCTTCCCTTCTCTCCATATGATCAAAAAGCAGATGCTCACGCTGTTTTTCTCTGTTGTTGCCCTCTGCTTATAGAGTGCATTGGCTTGGCTCTTTGCTCTTAAATATTTGAATCATGCAGCTAGATGCAGCATGGGTTGACTGGACTTTTTTCAATCTCACTTGCAGAATTTGTTTTCCTCTACTAGCAACTCTGCTTGAGTTATTGCTTTTAAAAGATGTTTTCTACTCCAGAGAAAGCCAAGGAAAGAAGCATGGGGCTGCATTACTTGGTCTTGAAAATTGCCTTATGGAAAGAAGGCGGGTTTCTTGGCTTGCTTTTGATCCTACGCCCACAAAGAGCACTCTGAGCAGAGAAGGGAGTAACCTTGTTACAGAAGCTCCTTGCTGCTCCCTGTGTCAGAGAGTTGAGTCTGTGTGTCACCAGCTAGGGAGTATAGATACACAGAGGCTAAAGGATGCTGCATTTACCATTTGGCAAAGTTGTATAAGACATGGAGAACTTAAGATACCTGATCTCAAACCACACGTTGTTTCATATGATCTAGTCTGTAACTTTCACTGAGATACAGTAGTTCATAAAAATGATGGAGTATGTTGAATACATAGAACCTGTTTGAGCCTAGGAATTTGTGGTGCCTCTAAGAGCCTCCTACAGTTTTCATGCAATGTGAAATTAGGTAAATGCCGTTGCCAGCAGTTAGATGTTTGCCTGGGCATTTGAGCCACATGTGTGTCATGCAAAAAGTTTTCCAAATTGTTTGTACTTCTCAGCAGTGTTAGTGCTAAGAAAATGATTTTGGTTCTTGTAGGTGGAGGTGGAGGAAATGTGTGTTGGCTACCTAGCATTCTCTCGTTAGACTGGACTCTATGTCTGTTCAGAATATAGAGATTTCTGTGATTCTGTTTAGCTACAGGTTTTAGCAGTGCAGCATGAATTACTCTTTCTGACCAGCTAAAAACTCTTAAAAATAAGAATGAGTATCTTGGCTCCTTTTCTTGAAATTTTCAAGCAAGATTCCAAGTCAAAGAGGCAAAGTTAACTAGAGATGCAATTTTGCCCTTAGTGCCAAGTGAATGAGCATCTTCAGAAGCTTTTCAAATCAAAGAAGTTATAAAATTTTAGGGCTTGTGTGAATTCAACAGCTTGATTAATCATGTTTTGAAACTTAGAGATGAGTTTGTTTATTTAGGCGTAGCTGTTGAAATTTCATATAAATTGTTCACGTGTGCTTTTTATCTGAGTAAAATCTGCAGATAAAAACTTTAATAACCTTTTTTATCGTTTCTTACTTGTAATGTAATTTTAAAAATGCAGGTGTTGAAGATAAGGAAAGCTGGCATGGAAAGCCCCTTCCTAAAAACATGGCTGAACAAGTCATTCAGGAAATAGATGACAAGATCCAAAATAAGAAAAAGCTTTCTCCTGCCCTGCCAGAAGAAGATGCACCTATAGTAAATATTAGAAACATTAAGATGCCTTCTCCACCAAGTTACAAAGTAGGAGAAAAGGTACTCCTTTTTTTTT